GGGACACCCCGGACACCCTGGGACACCCCGGACACCCCTGGACACCCCTGGACACCCCCGGACACCCCGGACACCCTGGGACACCCCCGGACACCCTGGACACCCCCGGACACCCCCGGACATCCCGGGACACCCCCGGACACCCCCGGACATCCCCAGACACCCCTTACCATGTCGGCCAGGGCCACGTAGAGGAAGATGCCGGCGGTGCCGGTGAGGACCCAGGGGGTGAGGGGGGTCCCGCTGTGCCCCAGGGCCACCCCCACGACCACCCCCAGGCAGGAGAGCAGGGCCGAGAGCAGGTTGAGGAGCAGGACGGAGCGGGGGGCGGTGCCAGCCCGAAGCAGCACCGCCAGGTCACCTGCGGGCAGGTGGGTGGGTGGGTGGGTTGGGGGGGAGCTGAGGGGTGGGTGGGTGGGTTGGGGGGAGCTGAGGGGCTGCCACGGCCGGGGCAGGGGGAGCAGCACTTACCCAGCTCGTGGGGCAGCTCGTGGCAGAGCACGGCCAGCGCGGTGCTGAGCCCGCTGGAGAGGCTGTGGGAGAAGGCGGCACCTGCGGGAAGAGGGTCCTTCACCCCAGACCTGCAGGGACCCTGTGCCCTGTGCACCCCCTGCCCCCTGTCCCTGTGCCCTCCCTGTCCTCCTGTCCCTGGTGCACTCTGCACCCCTTGTCCCCTGTCCCTGTGCACCCCCTGCCCCCTGTCCCTGGGCAGCCGCCCTCCCTCTGTGCCCACATCCAGCTCCGTGCCCGTGCCCAGCTCTGCCCCCTCACCGATGGCCAGCCCGTCCGTCAGGTTGTGGATCCCGTCCCCCAGCAGCACCATCCACACCATGTCGGTGGCCCCGGGGCCGAGGGGCAGCGCGGGGCCGTGGGAGTGTCCGTGGGGAGGTTCACGGGGGGGTCCGTGGGGCCTCAGCTCCAGCTCCGGGTCCGTGTCTGGTGCCCTGAGGTGTCTCAGCTCGGCCCCTGCGGCGGGACGGGCACACGGTGGGTGCCGGGGCTGGGGGCTGTGGGTACCGTGGGGCACTGAGGGGCACAAGGGGGGGGTCGTACCTCCTCGTGACGGTGCCAGGACCCCCGTGGGGGTCTCTCCGTGGGGGTGTCCCTGTGAAAGAACCGAGGCGTCGGGCACAAAGCCAGACCCGGTGGCAGCCCCGTCGCCCACCCCGTGCCCGTGGCTCCCACCCCGTGCCCGTGGCTCCCACCCCGTGCCCGTGGCTCTCACCGTGGCCTCCCGCCTGCGCCGCAGCATCCCCAGGAGCAGCTCCAGCAGGAAGAGCAGGTAGATGCCCCCCCAGCACCGCCAGCCCCTGCAGCACCGCGGGCCCCGGCCCCGACGACGTCTCCTGGTGCCCTCCCTGGGCCTGGACACGGGTGACCCGGCGGGTCAGGGCACCCGGACACCCCGGTGTCCCCCAGGGTGCCACCTCCCCTCCGCGAGGGTACCTACGTGGGGCCAGAGGTGGAGCAGGGCGTCCCCACAGAGGGTCCCCACGGCCAGGGCCACCAGGAAGGCCAGGAGGGAGCGGAAGAAGCCGCGGCTCAGCAGCGGGACCAGGACGACGGCCAGGGCCGACGGGAGGCTGACGGAGGCCACGGCCAGGAGAGCCCAGCCCAGAGCTGTGGGGAGGGTCAGGGGGCACGGCCGGAGCAGGGGGGCACGGGGAGAGGGGGTGTGGGGATGGGAGGTGGTCCTTGGGGATGCGGGATGGGGACCCCGGGGAGGCAGGGATGGGGAGCTCAGGAATGGGGACCCCAGGACCAGGATTGTGGGGGTGATGGGAATCTGGGGATGGGGATCGTGAGGGGGGGGCACTTGGGGTCGGAGGGACGGTCATTGTAGGGGTGGGGTTGGAGGGATCCAGGGATGGGGACCTGGGAAGCCGATGGTGGAGGAGCCAGGGATGGGAATGCACGGAGAGGGTCCACGGGGTCCATCTGATGGGAGAGCAGGGGCTCAGGGAGCAGGGACAGGGGACAGGGGACAGGGGGACCAGATGCTCGAGGAACCAGGGACGGGGCTGCAGAGATGGGGGGCACAGGGATCAGACCCTGGGGCACGTGGGGATGCAGCAATGGGGTGAGAGGCTCCGGGGGACCTGGGGACAGACAACCCGGGGCCGGGGGCCTGGGAGGGGTTACCCCGGGTTGGGGTTACCTGGCCACAGGCCCCCCCCCCGGGGGAGGCAGCGTCACCTCATCGCTGTGCTGGATGCAGACACGGCTGTCGATCTGGTAGAGCAGGGCCGGGCACAGGAGGGTGAACTGCTCCGGCGTCAGCTGCGACGCCGAGTCCAGCCCGAAGTTCACCAGCAGCTGGGTCACGTTGAGGCACTGCAGGACCAGGGGGGGGCTGCCGTGAGCGCGGCCGGGGGGTCCCGGGGGAACCAGGAGCAGCCGGGGGGCCCCGGAGGCTCCCGGAATGCGGCGGCGGAGCGGGACGGTGTGACCCCCCCACTCCACTCATGGGACGGTGTGACCCCCCCCGCCCCACTCACATCATCGTGCGGGTGGTCGGCGCTGGAGTGCTCCAAGCCCAGGACCCTCCCCAGCAGGCTGAGGGTGGGCTGGTACCGCCGGGGGGGGTCCCCAGCCCCGGGGGGATCGGTGGGCACCGGCTTCGCCCAGCTCTGCGTCCGGGAGGGCGGGGGGCTGCGGGACACCGGGGGGCTGCGGGACACCGGGGTGATGAGCCCCCCGTCCCACCGGGGTGTGGGGCAGCCCTCCCGGGGGCTGTGGGGGGGGGATCAGGTACCTGTGGGGTCGGTCGGTGGCCGGGGGAGCCGCGTCCCCGCCGTGCTCCCAGGCCGGGTGCCGGTGCCGGTGCTTCTCCTCCTGCACCTCGAGCAGGTCCAGGTGACTGACGTGGCCGTGGCCCAGCTCCTCGTGCTGGATCTGCACCACCTGGACTCGGCCCAGCCCGAGGCTGCCCAGGAGCCTCGCCAGCCCCTCGAAGGGCAGCGTCCCGTTGGCCCCGTACTGCCCGAAGAGCTGCTGCAGGTAATACCCGTGCTCCTGCTCCTCGGGCAGCGGCCCCGGCGGCTCCGGCGTCCCCCCGACCCCCAGGGCCAGGAGGAGCCCCAGGAGGAGCCCCAGGAGGAGCCCGGGGGGGGCCCATGGGGCCGGATCCGGGGGGCGGCAGAGCTGGGGGAGGAGGGGGACAACGGGGTGAGGGTGGTGGGAGATGTGGTGGGCGCAGCCCCCCTGCCCGTGGGCACCTCCCGGGACGTGGGGTGGTCCCCCCAGGTGGCCCCCGGCTGCACTTTCCTGCCACCCGTCCGTCCGTCCGTCCGTCCGCCCGCAGGGAAAGCGACAGGCGGCCCCAGGGTCACTCCCGGGCCACGTGTCCCACCCCAGGGCTCAGGGACACCCCGGGCAGCGGGGCCGGGGCGAGGGGGGCTGCCCCTGTGCCCCCCCGAGGGCTCCCGAGGTGGGAGAGGGGGGCGGTGGGGACGGTGCTGTGGTGGGGGGCACATGGTGACCCTCGTCCTCGAGGGGAGGTTTTGCAACGGGGGCCGGTTTTGTGAGGGAGTTAATGTTTCACCAGGCGGGAGATAAAAGCCCTCGGCACCCCCCGGCTCCCTCCTCACCCCCCCACCCCATCACCCCCAGCCCCACATCCCCCAAACCGGCTCCCCCCTTCCCAGCAGGGGCGCGGGACAGGCGCACGTGGGGATGGGATGATGGGACGGAGGGATGGAGGGACGGAGGGACGGAGGGACGGAGGGAGGGAGGGATGGCCGCCGTCCTCTCCCACGTGGGGCCGGGCCAGGATGGAAAATCCCGGGAGCCAGCGCCCCCCCCACCCCCCCCCCCGCCCCCCCGGGGGCCCCCGCCCCCCCCCCGGCCCCCCCCCCCCGGCCCCCCCCCGGGGGGCCCCCCGCCCCCCCCCCCCCCCCCCCCGGCGCCCCCCCCCCCCCCCGGGTGCGGCGCTGGCATCGCCCGCGTCCCCCCCCCGGGCCCCTCCCGTGCCCACCCGTGCCCACCTGAGCGGTGTTGGGGCCGGGGGGGACGCGGCCCTGTCCGTCCCCGTCCCCGTCCCGCGTCTGCCGCGCCCGACCCGGGGGGGGCCAAGGGTCACCCCGGAGCTGCTCCCGGTGCCGGGAGGGGCCGCGGGGAGGGCCCTGAGGGCGGGGAGGGGGGTCCGGGTCCCCCCCCAGTGCGGGGCAGGAGCGGGCGAGGCGTGGGCACAGCTCGACCTTTATTGACGCGCACCCCGAGGGTCGCGGGTGCCGCGGGTGGGGGGCACAGGGCGGGGGGGCCGCGGACCCCCGGGCACCGCTCAGCCCCGGCCCGCCCGGGACCCCCGAGCACGGGGGGGCTCCGGGACACCCCCCGAGGCACACGAGTGGGGGGCAGCGGGGCCCGGGCACCCCCTCCGAGCCCCCGGGGGGCTGCGCGGGGCTGTGGGGCCGGGCCCCCCCCGCCGTTCCCGACCGCGGCGGGGCTGGAGGGAGGAGGGTCCGGGGGAGGGTCCCCCCCGTTATCTCTTGCTGCTCCTTCGCGTCTCTTTGCCGTTGCTGACGGGACCGGAGGCGGGTCCGGGGTGCCCGGGCTGGCTGCGGGTGATGCGGCCGCTCGGGGGGTGCGCGGGGGCGCTGGGGGGGTGCGCGGGGCCCCCCGGGCTCAGCCCGTTCCCGTTCTGGCTGTCGGGGGCTGCGAGAGAACCGGCAGGGAACGGTGGAGCCGAGCCCGGGGGTCTCACGGGGTGGGAGGGGATTCTGCGGCCCCAGGGTGGGGAGGGGGCTGCGTGACCTACCTGGGGGGGGCTGCGGGGGGGCCCTGGGCGGTCTGTGGGGCAGAGGCACCGGCGCTCTCGTTCTGGGCCTGTGGAGGAGGAGATGGAGACCCCTGCGTGCTGCAGAGCCAGGGGGCTGCCCTGGGGGGGCCGAGGGGGTCCTGGCAGTGCCAGCCCAGCCCCCTCCCCAGCCCGGGACCCCCCTCCCGGCCCGGGACTCCCCCCTCAGCTCACCCCTTTGCTCTGCGACTGCTGCGCCACGTACTCGGGGTTGGGCTCGCTGAAGTTGGGCACCTCGGAGTACACCATGCAGAACCTGCGGGCACAGAGGGGCCGTGGGGTCCCCCCGCGCCCCCCAAACCCCCCCCAGCTGCGGCGGGACCCCCCCACCCCGTCCTTACTCGCCGATCTTCTGCAGGTCCCCCCCGCGCCCCGTGTAGAGGGTCAGGCAGCCCTTGAAGACGGAGGCGTAGCTGAGGAGGAGGAGGAGGAGGAGGAGGAAGGAGGGGTCAAGGCGGGGTCCCCGCAGGGTCGGGGGTCCCGGGCGCCCCCCCCCGAGCCCCCCCGGTACCCCTTGGTGAGGCGGATGATGTCCCCGGGCTGGATGAGGTTCCCCACATCGTCCCACACCGAGATGTTGATGCTGCCGGTCTTGTCGGCCACTTTGCACGTTCGCACCTCGTGCCCGTCCTTGGTCTTCGTCACCCGGCCTGGGGGGGACGCGCGGGGTCAGGGGGGGACACGCGGGGCCGGGGGGACCCCCCCGCCCTCACACCCACCCGTCTCCAGCACGATGAAGATGAGGTTGAGGTTCTTCAGCCCCGGTTTCACGTCCTTCACCAGCGTCTCGGTGCTCATGGTGCCGGCGGGACCCTGCGGGAGGAACGGGGGGGTACCGGGGATGGGGGGACACCGGGGACGGGGGGGACACCGGGGACGGGGGGCACGGGGGGACACCGGCTGTGTCACCCCCGGGGAGGGGGCCCGGGACATCACTGCTGGGACGGGGAGCACAGGGATGGGACCACCCGGGGATGGGACCGGGACACCGGGGATGGGACACTGGAGACGAGACCACCGGCCTCGGGACCACCGGGGACAGCAGGGACGCGACACGGGGGGGGGCATCGCTGCTGAGGACGGGGACCGCGGGGACGGGACCACCGGGCTACGGGGACACCGGGGACGGGACCGCGGGAACGAGGCACCGAGCGCGGGACCGCGGGGACGGGACACCGGGGGGGGCATCACCGCCGGGAACGGGACCACCGGGGCTGAGTGCGGGGACGCGGGGGGACGAGACCGCTGGGACGGGGCCGCCGGGACACCGGAGACAGGACCGCGGGGACGGGAACTACCCACGAGCGAGACTCCGGGGCCACCGGGACCGGGAGCAGGAGCGGGATCGGGAGCACCGCCCTCCGTCCCGCCCCGCCGCCAGGGGGCGCTCGCAGCCCCCGCCGCGCGCGCTCACCGGGCACGCTCCCGGCAGCCCCCGGACACTGCCCCGCGCAGCCAATCAGCGCGCGGCGGGGCGGGTGACGTACAGCTGTTCCAACCAATAGCGATCCGTGGAGGGCGGGGCTTAGCCCGGCTCACCCCGCGGAGCCCCGCCCCGACCAGCGAGTTGCCGCTCGCGCGGGGCCAGAGCGGCGCTTCCGGCGCGGCGACTTCCGGCGCGGCGGGGCCGGGCGGGGGGGACCCGGTGGAAGCCGCGGCCGCCCCTGAGCCCGGAGCGGCCCCGGAACGGCCCCCGAGAGGCCTTGGTCCGGCGGCCGCGGTACGTGGGGCGGCGGGAGGGAGGCCCCCTGGGGAGAGCGGGGCCCGTGGGCGGCGTTCGGGGCTCCCGGGGCGGGGGGGGCGCGATGCGACCCCGGTAGCACCGGGGGGAGCGGGCGGTGGTCCGGGGAGGGGCCGCCGGGGCTCGGGGCTGGGGGAGGCCGGACCTGGTGGGGAGTTCGTGTGGTGGGGAGTGACCCCCCCGCCCCGGCCGTGAGAGCCCCGGGGCCGGTCCCGGTGCCGCTGGAGCCCCGTCCCGGCGGGAGGAGGAGAATCCCCGGCCTTGCTCGCGGGGCCGCGCGCGGACACCGGGAGCGAAACGACGCCCCCCGGGGCCGGTCCCGGCGGGGATCAGCGGCGTGAACCGGCCCCGGACCCACCGGGGCGGCTGCGGGGGAGAACACGGGCCGGGCGGAGGGAGAGAGGAATGTGAGGGACAATCCCAAGGAATGTGGGAACAATCCCAAGGAATGTGGGGGACAGTCCCAGGGAATGTGGGAACAATCCCAAGGAATGTGGGTGGACAATCCAAAGGAACTTGGGGAACAATCCCGAGGAATCTGGGGGATGTGGGGAGCACACCTGCCCCTGGTCCCTGGCACAGAAGCCCAGCAGCGTTTGGGAAGCAGAGGGAAGGCAGGAATTAAGCAGCACCCGAGCAAAGCCTTGTTTTCAGGAAGGGCATTTTTTGCCATGATTTTAAGCGATAAACGTGAAAATGCCCCAAAATTCAGCAGCCCCAGGGCAATTCTGGTGCCTCAGCAATAATGGTGTCGAAGGTTCTGGTGCCCAAACCCCCATGGCAGCACCACCCAGGCTGTTCCTGAGCTGGTTTTTCCCCTCGTTGCCATGACCAGGAGCTCAAACCAAAATAGTTTTTCCCGTTCTGTCGATTTTTCGCAGCGAGGGAGAAAAAAAACTTGGATTTGTGTCAGGAGATGTTTGTTTTTTTTTTAAGAGGCATTTGGGGAAACTGGTATTTTTAGCGGGATTTTGTCACTGCAGAGCTGAGGCATCACCCAACGGGCTGGTGTCTGTGTCCCTGCCCTGTGGATCCAGCTGGGAATGGGGCTGGAATTCCCAAAGCCAAGGGCCACAGGGAAACAGGGATGTGGATCCGTGTCATTGTCGTGTTCGGGGGGGCACGAGGGCTCTCCAGGGCTGCTTTGGGGCTCTGAAGGGACCCTCGTTCTTCCCACTGAAATCAGAAATCCCCAGAGGCAAGGAGCGGGTTGGGATGCAGTGGGAATTCTCTGCCTCTGGCCCCTCATCCCCGCCGTGCCCACGGTGGGATCGGTGCCTTCCGGGCGATCCACGGCTCCTCCACAGGTTCTCCGTTGTTTTTTGGAGAGTCTCGAAGGCTCTTCAGGAAATTCCAGCTCCTTTCCCACGTGGCTGGAGGGGAGCGAGGGACAGGGCGCAGCCTCCACCTCCTTCACCATCCTCATCCTCCCTCCCTTCTCTGTTCCCCGGGATCAGCTCCGTCCTGACTCCGGCGCGGGGCCCCCGAGGAAGGTTCTGGGCTGTGGAGGAGCGAGGGGAAAGATGGGCCTTTGGGAGAGTGGCCCTGCACAGAGTGAAGCCAGCCCAGCCCTGCGCCGCTCCGGGAGGAATTCTGCCACGGGAGGTAAGGCAGGGCCCTCTCCCAGCCTCCCTTCCCCGTGGGAATGGCATCAATCCTTCCCCCACAGCTCCCTGCAGCAGTTCAGTCCTCCCTCCACGCACAGAGAGCCCTGGAATGGTGGCTGCTCCTGGGTCTCGCTCCAAAAAGCTTTGGTGTAAATCAATATCCACGGGGAAATAGCGAGATCTTCCTTGAATTCCGGAGGTTTGACAGAAATCCTGCCAAACTGGCTCAGGAACTGCCCCTGCCTGGTTTCTGTGTCTTGTATTTCACGTAGAAGGAGCTGGGCAGACCTGGGAATTCCCAGAGGATCCCTGGGACCGGCAGGGAAGGGG